GCTCTCCAGAAATTAATTATAACGATCACTGTTGTTTTCGAATCAAACACGAGCTCGGAAAAAGTAGTTTCGAAAAAAAAGGTATTAAAGTTGGGCACTGCGACATACAACAGTTTCATCGAATTGTGTTTACTGTAGCCAAGTTCATTATTGAACTTCAGTGGTTAGTTTAATTACATCGCGTTCTTCGTTAACACATTGATGACCACGTCCTTCGAGAAATTTTTCACTAGGAAGTACTGTGACAAACTTTAAACACGAATAAGAATACAAGTTTTGTTAAATCTTTTGGCACTTTCGAGCAAGTGCCCTGCGTTCACCTACAATCTAATTTCAGAATATGTTTCTAAGACCTCAAACTACACGAAAAAAAGGATCGATATTTTTAAAGTTTTAAACTAGAAGATTCCTTTAAGGGAACGGGTGTAAGGATTAAACTTCTTTAAACTTTTCACGCGTATATGTCGATGGTCATCTAGTTATACCAAACTTTACAATGTCAATTTTGTACTGATAATCTCATAATCTAAAGTTACCATCGCAGCGTCCTGAAGCTTGTTCCCATCGAAAGTGAATGTATCGTTCTCAGTCTGAAAATAGAGAAATTAGGATTGCAGGAATTTCCGAAAAGGTACGAAAAGAAACCGACCGCATCTTCCGTCGTTTATTTTTATTCACCGTCAATAAATTAGCACTTATCGTTGAAAATCATACGAGAACCAAGAGACAATAAGAATTACGAATTCGTGACCTCTGTAAACCCCGCAATTAATGAATAAATACAAAATTAGCATATAAAAATGTTCAGCGACGTGCGCTGACACGATCGCCATTTCCTAATTCTGTTTCGTTATTTTTATGTACATCATATATCGCGTCGAATTGTAAACTTCGCAAGAATAGATAGACTAGACCGCTAAGTAGATGCTTAATCATGTTTCACTAGCGATTTTAACGACCTTCTAGACACAATGCTTTTGACGTTTCCCTGACGGTGGCCATTTTTTATCCCCCCTCCCCAACACGCTCCATCGTTGGACAAAACAGACCGTCTCCATTTTTGCGCACCAACTCAGAACACAGACGCACTCAGCTCTTTCAACTTTTCTTTCGAAGCTCTTCTCTCGAATTACTTATCTAGATTACGGCTTATTGTGTCTACTATTAGAATGAATCTTCTTTTGTACATCGAATGCTGCATACTCCCCGAGCTAATAAAATCACTATCGTGCCTATTCGTACTCTCATAAAGTAGTCGTCAATTAACATCTTTCACGCATCCTTTCTTCCAGCTTTTACTCTCTCTCTCTTTCTCTCTCTCCCATTGTTTTCCTGACACGTTCTCTACAAATAATGTTACTCTCAATGGAACGGATAAGCTACAGCGTTATCGTAATTCGTGTATATTATAATAAAGATTTCATTTCGCTAATTTATTTTGCTAAAACTGTCAAACTTTTCAATAGAGTCACTGCTGAAATATCGGTGCCCGTTGACAAGAGCACCATACTTTTAATCAACATAACCGGAGTTCGTCTTATTCATCTACACGCGTTTCAATTCTCGTGAATCGAACACAGAGTTACACGACGCGACGTATCCACGAAAGAGACACAGCAAATCAGTCGTAGTTGTGGAAGCAGCACGAGTTAACAAAATCGAGTCGCGTACCATCCACCGGACGAGCCGCGGACGACAACATTTTACGCACAATGTTTTCATTCGTTAATGGTCGTACGAAATAGGGAAACGGATTCGTTCGAAAAAATGGTGAATTTCCCGCAACTACTCGTAAATCGATAATAATGAAGAAGGTGAACATGCATCTTAAATTCTATAAGATCTCTAACATTTGCTCATCAGTCTCTGTCGTTTTCGACAATGATCGAGTTGCTCTTTCGAAATGAGTACATGCTCTATTTACAGTAATGCAATATATCCGGAGCGTTTAAATCGAGTTTCGACAATTGTATCCCGTCAACCCATTTTTCACGAACCTCCGTGTTTCATTTCTGATTTCGTTTCGTGACGCCTTCGATTCTACCACCATTTTACACTATACAAAAGATGTACATAAGATCCAACGGTGTGATATATAACGTACGTATATTTATAGATTTGTATAGTCTAATGTTTTGGCAAAGATTGGGTCAATATAAAACATCGTTAGGTTTCTATGCGTATTGTATGTACATACAAAAACTTTGTAACTTTCAACGTTTCTCGTGGCATGGTAAATATACACATGTACAGGTTTACCATCTTGTCGAAGAACTAAGTTGCATCGATGATGGGGATTGTCGATCGTGTACTAGTAGTGTAATACTCTGGAGCGAGACATTTACACTAGAAAAATGAATTAAACTGCTTAAAACGAGCTAGTTGTCTTATAGAATCGTACAAAGTAATGCTACTAGCAGCATTTCGATCGTAAGCAGATTGCAAATATGTATGTTTTAGATAATCGCGTATTATAATAGCAACGTAGAATTTTTAACATCGAAAACAGACCCAATTACAATATTTTACTATTGGTTCCTATTCGATACATATCAAAATATCCTTAGATACATACACGTATTTCTATACTCCAAACGTCATTCTAATAATTCAAATTGAAGTTTGTAATTAGGTCTACCTGTAGACTCTGCAATTTTGCAACATAAATATTAGCAATGTTTTCAACAACTTGAATCGTATCATTATACAGAATGGGACACCCAAGATTCTCCGTTGTTTTTGATAATTGTTTGGACAGAAGCAGTATAGCTTTCGAACTTTGAAGATCGTTGATGTATTTTTACAATTCAATAATTTAGAACGACATAATCTTCAAACGATCGTGGTTGGTGTCTGATGAACGTAATACTCTAAAACTTTTGGCATCTGTTCGAAACACGACACAAACTCTACGACAATATTGCTCTTGCGCTCGAACAATTTTTTCCTTATTGTACATCCCACCCTGTTACAAGTTGAGAACTTTTATGTAAAATTTTATACAGATAATCAAGAGCAACAAATTAGATAATTAGTACAAGAGGTAATTTTCTTGGGGAGAAAAGAAGTTATTTCAATTTTGCACAGTTTGTTCGATTCATTATTTTACCAAATTCCGTTGCTTTTGATCTTCATGCATACTTGAATTTCGAGAGAAAAGGGGAAACATTTAACCCTCTACGACCCTAATCAATTTTGGTATCCGTAGTAAATTATAGAATTGGACGTTGCTAAAAATAATCAAATATAATCTTCCTAAATACATTGGCTATAATATTGCTTCTACCCCACGATTATACACATTGATAAAGAAAAAATCAAATTAAACTTTGAAAATATAAATATATAGCTACTTTAGAATTCTACAGGGTTGTAGAGGGTTAACTGACAACTGAAAGTGTTCATACTTCGCGTCATTACATCAATCCTATTATTGCACGGTTCACTCTTCGTACGTGCCGTCTGTTCATTATCAGTGTAAATCTACAAAACGTAGCAACAGCGTAGAAACCAAAGGATGAACGACGTTTTTTCTCGTAGAAAAACTTGGCAGTCTTTAATCTAAGAGTCACTAATCTAAAAATCAGTCGTTTCATCGAGAAAAATGAAATAAAACTGTCAAACCATCGCGTTACCTTGCCGTCAATTTCTCGCTTAACGTTTCATCAACGGTCCTTTTATTGCAGGCATTTCACTTTACCTATCTACACATTAGGGGGACGTATATTGCTATTGTATCACATAATATTCGCTTATTATTATTAATTACACGAGCGTTGAAAACAACAGACGAGATCGTGAAGTGATCGGCAGTGACGTTATTTCATTCCTCGTCCTTTTCATTCAAACTTCACCGTCAAATTTGTTCCATTCGCGCACGGCACGAACTTCGCAGAAACTTTGCCGCGGCTCTCCTCGTTAAAACTGCTTAAATTCTGTTTCTTACACCTTTCCCCATTGGTTGTGTCTCCTTTGCAGAGATTTAAAAAAAAATTCAAGATGGGAATAACGAGTACGTCCTTTGTTTGATGTTAAAATTTAGGTAGGGACAAATGAAGTTGGAATACTTGCTAAAAAAAAAAAAAAAATAAAAAAGAAACGGTAGCAGCATACCTTTGATTATAGAGTAACGAGGAGAAAGGATCATTAAGGCAACAAAGGGTACCAAGGCACCTCGTTATTTCTTTCGATCCGATGTATTTTGGGATACAATTCTGTATTATATGAGGCGAAATTAAAGCGAACGAACTTTTATGCGTATTATTTACAGGGTGGATCGAATGTGTTTAGCCGCGATTAGACTCGCGATACAAAATAAATGGAAAGATTCCTGTGAATAAATCTACTGAAACTTGTCAATCACAGAGTCTTTTTTTCGTTTCTGTTCTGATGCTGTTATCGTTCTTCTCTTTTAAAACAGACGAATATTTTATATACGATGGTTAATAGGATTCGGAAAATTTTATTCACGAATGACAAGTGAATATTTTAGTTCCTAAAAGGACTTTTTAAAGCAATATCCAGGTGAGTGATTCTAAAATGTTTACTCGTTATTCGTAAATAAAATTTGCTCAAAGTAAAGAGAACTTTCTTATTACTTTTGTATCGCGAGCTCAGATAATACAGGACTGTCAGTGTTGCAGAGATCTCTATTGCTGACTACTGGAGACTTTAAAACCCTACTTTGGTATCGTCGGATTCATCCCATGCTGCAACGAATTCAAACCAACGTCCAGTTACGGAAAACGTTTTTCAAGGATCAGTTTATCGTCGGACTTGGGTGAAACTAAAGAGCATACCCTGCTAAATATAGAGTACTTACGATATAGCAGAACAGTCCAGGCGACGTCGCACACCGACCACTTGCAAAATCATTGAACTCTATCGCGAACGAATCAACGGACGAGTCTTTTAACGACCAAATTTCCGGACATACGATATCGAAGCAAGGTAAATCGAAACGTTTCCAATTTTCGTTAAACGTTGTCACTCGTTACTCTTCACGGGTAACTGGCGTCGCCGTTTTGCGTCTTGTTGGCTGGCTGAGAAGTAGGCGACGCCCTGGTGAAGTTCCCAAAGTTCTTTGTAGGCGAATCTGAAGCAACGCTGGCAAGTGCCTTGTCCCTGGGTGGCGGCGCTGAGCTGATGCTGGATGAACTGACACCCGAGTCGCTGGATTTTTCGCTGACGCAACCCCTTTGACCAAGACCAGGCACAGTGCCTGCACCCTCGAGGCCAATGTCGCTGCTTCCCACCACGTATTTCACCAAACTTCCAAGCTTCTGTCCACTGTCGCATGCGTCCTCGATGACCACGGTTTCCCCAAAGTTTCCCTTTTTGGAGATGAAACGAATGTTCCCGCCGCGCAACAACGGCGACTTGTCGAAGTGACCCTCCTTCTGGCCAGCGATGTTGCCAACGATGGGTATGTTCGGATGGAAGTCGTCCTTGCTGTCGGACGCGGGGTTTCCTTCTGTGCTGACGCTACCGACGCTCTTCGCCGACGCTGTGGCGTCGAGATTGTTCTCTCTGGGCAGCTTGGTGGACGTAGCCGACTCCGGGCTTACGGTTCGTCGACTGGTGGGATTCTTGTGAGCGTCGTAGCAGCCTGAATCCCGCGGGAACTGGCGACGATTGAACGGCGAACAGTGGCCGGATGTCTGGTCGGAAGTTAAGACCAATCGACTGACCTCGTCGCCCTCCGAACTCGAAGCTAAATCTCCTTCGCTTCCAGCTATTGGAATGTAACAAAAATCGACGTATAATTCCGTGCCCTTGCCTCGAGAGACATTGTTTAGAATAAAGTTGAAACACCCGGAGACTGCTATTAACGGGATAGATGTTCCAACAACTGCAGCTAGTTAATTTTTTTTAAATGCTGTTTAACTGATCGTCTGAATTTGAAACATCTCTTTTATGACAGAGAAATATTTGAACGCGTTGAATACGTGGAATTCAATAGTTATTAATTAAAGTCTGCGATAAATCCCAATGTCCCTGTGACTGTCGCCTCAAAAATCGTCCTGTCTGTGTAATTGCTAATAACTGTCAGCCTTATTGATTGCGATGAGACGAATAACAGTTTTTATTATTGACGATGAAATTTGAATAATTGTTGCGAATTTAAAAGTGAATTGAATTAAAGTAAGCAATTTTAGATCACGAGAATTAATAAACAACACGGATTTAAAAAGAAATTATTACTGACGTATTACAGACAGGAAAATATAAAACATAACATCAGCATCAGCATAAGCATCACCGTAGAAGGAAATCAGTTATCTACGAATTTCGTACAACTACCATTTTTACTGCAATTATATCTATTCCTTTCCTATAAAGCAAAATAAATAAAATCACAGTAAGGGACACTGACATTTATTGAGACATCCGCCATGTCTGTTCGTCAGATTTCTATTAATTTTACTAAATCCAAAGTGAAAATGCCAAATTATAATTTTAAATGTGGAAAGAAAACATTTTCCTTAACACTAAACCTACCGACACTTCATCTATACCCATTTTCAATTAAATAAACAATTTATAGTCCAATTTTATTGCACATCAGTCGTATGATCAATAGGAATTTCTTAAACCTCTTTGGGCATATAACGTCAAAGAAAATGTTAAAATAAACATAGAAGATGACATAAATAATAAAAATTGATATGGTCATGAGATAGGGGATGAAATCCCCTTTAAAATGAGCGTTTGTACGAGTCGATAGCTTTATTAGTTCCGGAGATATAGCGATTTTAGTTTCAAGTCGATACGGTGGCTAGTTTAAGAGATATAAGGGTTCGAAGTTTGTTTACGTTTCATTGTTGCACTCGCGAGTTCATTGGTCAGTGCGTAGTAAATTCTTGGAAATACTACGTCGAAACTAGGTCACGACAGTCACGTACGTGGGGTAGGTCAGTACCACGCACGTGCGACAAGGAGGTCCGACTCCGTTAGACGAAGACAGAGATAGTCGAATTACAAAAATGACTATTTACATAACTTACGATATCTCCGAAACGGAAAGTCGTATCGACAAAAACCAAAAACAATTTTAAAGAGAAAGCTTTGCTGCTTCTAACAGTGGCTCAATAATTAATAAAACACTAATAGTTTCGGAACTACACGCGTCTAAACTTTTACTATTTTTAATACGCGTTAACAGCCTTTTCTGAGACGGGAAGCGAAAGGCAGTGGAATTTAATAACTTACCTTTTACATAAATTACGATATCTCGAAAACGAAAAGTCGGATCGACAAAAACCAAAAACCATTTTACAGAGAAAGCTTTGCTGCTTCTAACAGTGGCTCAGTAATTAATAAAACACTAATAGTTTCGGAACTACACGCGTCTAAACTTTTACTATTTTTAATACGCGTTGTTAGACTGCTCTAAGACAATGAAAACTGAAGATTTTCTCGTTTCATCTTTGCTATATATTTTCTATTTACATCTAACGAGAATTTGATACCTTTTGTCCAGTTTTTTTACAAAAGAATATAAATTGTTCAATCGGTCAGTTGACCATGGTAGGTTTAGTGTTAAGTTGCTATTACGAAAAAGTGTTTAACAAACGAACGATGCCCTTTTCTAAAGTTTCTGGCAATAGCATGTAGCGTCTAAATATAAAAAGGATTCCAATTATTCTAATTATGGCAATTCCACGCTATAAAAGTCACGTAATATTTAAAATTAAGATCATGTTTTAAAGAATAAAAGAACTATAATATGAACATAAACATGCTATAACTCACATTGAAGATCATGCAGTAATTGTACCGCTGTAAGAATCTTGGCGCGATGTTCTGGCTGATGTATACGCAGATAATCGAGATCCGCGGGCTCTATTTCTCTGAAGAGTTCCAGGTCCTCGTATCCGTTCAACACGAAAACAGGAATGTGTTCCTGCGAAGATACACCGTTCGATTTCCCATTACTATCGTCCCCCCTCTATTCCAAACTCTTGTCTCGAACAAAAAATCGCATTTACATTTTTTCTTACGGTGCGTTAACATGCAAACGCAATTAGAAATGTTCCCGTTACCGTGAGGATGAGTTTTCACACAGGACGAGGTACTTGAAACGACCTGGTACTTCATTTACTCCACGGAATAAGGTTGTACCACGCATTTTTTCGTGGTTTGTGAAATTAGCTGCAGAAAATGCACAGCTCATATAATATTTAAATTGATTATTTCGGACTAAATTTTCTTTTACATTATTTTATAGTATTCTTTTAAAATATCCTGCAGCTGTAACAGGTCTTCAAAAATTGGAAACATTGTATCTTCCGGTGCTGCAGGTCTTCGCGATAAATTTATGATATATTTTAGTACACCTCGTAGATAACATCCTAGCGGAGCGAGACGCAAAGAATAGTTTGACCACTCCACTCTGTCGATCAATTCAATCTCGGGTAAAATTGAAATCCAATATTGCTATTGCAATTCCATAGTAACGTACTCAGCACACGTCACGTTGAAGTTACATGTATATATTTCTTAATATTCAGTGGAATATACTTGAAAAGTTACGGGTACATATTCACGAAGAAACGCAGCAGATTTTTATCCTGCGAGTGTTCCTTCGAATAAAATAGAGCACTATTTGAAATACCGTTATACGCTTTCGATAACTTTGCAAGATATTAATATAACTATCTTGAGATCATATGATTGAAATATAATAATATAGCTGGGGTCTGTAACCTACAGATCCTCAGCTAAATTAATACGGTCCTCGACCGGAGTAAAATATTTCGATATCCATTTAATTCTACTAAATATAAATGCACATTTTAGTTAACGAAAATATGCAATAGACGTTTTACTATTTCATAACCGTTCCGTAGGTTTTCGAACATTTCCATGCGGTTTAACGACCTCGCAAATCTTAATCCGATTCGCGAACAGCTTGCTTCACCGAAGAAGAAAAGTAAAAGTGAGAAAGTGTCGCTGAAAAAGGAACTTGTCGCGAGCCACGGTGCAACCGTGAGCTGTACGCGATATAAAAGGTATGTGGTGGAGAGGTCGGTGGGGGAGGGCTACGCATGAAAAGAAAGAGGACCAACGAATAAAGAAATGTATAAAAGCTGGATCCCTGCTTTGTATTCGAAGCAATGCAAATGCGAATCAGTTTGTTCGAGCTGTAGCAAGATATTGCTCTCTACCTGAAGATTCATTCTCTGCAAGAGCTCTTGAACGGAACCGGGCTTCTGCCTGTACCTCTGGCCCCACTTCCCCCGCCCCTCGGGTTCCCCGCGCCTTGTAACCCTGTCGTTCAGTATCTCAACGTTTATGAACTTGAAGTGGCCTATCCTGTTGTGCATGATACCCTTCCACAGACCGCTCTTGTTCATTTGTACCACGTCGATAATGTCTCCCTTCTGCAACAAAAGCGCCGTAGCAATTTGCTTGATACTTTATTCGCGTGCAAAAACCTCGAAAACTCCTCGACTTTCGGATTCTCGCGAATGGAACACGATATTCAACGTTCGAGTTCGGTTTCGTATTCACTGGTCCTTCCACGAAAAGTTTCGAAAAAAGGGAAGCAACTTCAGACAATATCAAGTCTTTCTTCGGAGCTGGAACCTTTAATTTTAGATATTTTATCGAATTACGGTTCTACAGGCGAGTCCAAAAGGCTTGGTACTAAAGTACTGTGCAGAAATCTATATCACGCTGATTTTGATCTAGCTTTTAATGATAATTCTTGCGACTAGAGCGTAATTACTGGGTGATCGACAAGATCGTCGAATGTTTGAGCAACGAACCTTGAATTTGAGCGCATCTTTGTCGTAAGGGCTAGGCGTGTAGTCCACGAGCGCTCTAGCCCTGCAGAGCACGGGTCCCATGGAGGTCGGGCTGATGGCGTCTCTGTCCTCGCAGGATATCGAGCTGTGATTGCTTCCTGCACGCACGAGGGCCTGTGTACTGGAACCACTGCCGCTTGGAAGACTCTCGACGCTGCTGGCGCTGCACGGGAAGGCCTCCGAAGAGGCGCGATCCTGTCGAAGCCTCGAGATCTTGCGTTGCACGTCGTGTCGCAGGTTCCTCGCTCGACCTGCGATCCGCGCCCTAGCGTCGCCCTCCAGCAGAACGCTAGCTTCCGACTGGAAATTTTAACAGAGAATTGGAGAACGCCGGGCACTCGGGAGCGTTCCTTTCGTTGGTCGATGAAAATGAAAAGAGGAGTTTCGTAACGGCTGTTTGTTCGTTCGATCGAGGAGTCACGCGAAACGGTGCTTCAAACCTCGGACGATTCTACTTTGAAACGTCGTAAAAAATATCGACGACACGTTACCTAAAAACGAAACCTGTTAACGAATCGTAATATACACGGTGTTCAGCCAGCCCTGGGACAAAATTTTAATGGGAGATTCCAGAGGCCAAAATAAGACGAAAATAATTTGTTCATTGTGGCTTCGTTAAAAGGTTATAGAAACATTTCTGGCTAGAAATTATATTTTAGGCAAGGCATTTTTTTCTACTAGGATTTCGGGGGTGTGTCTACTCACCAAAAATGATTGTAATTGACCCCCACAACCGAAAATAATTTTTTCAGAACGATTTGAAACTTTTTAATTTTGTCGACAAATTTGTCCACCTACTCGAATTTTTTTCTCGAAAGTGCGTAGGATTTCGGGGTATGTGTATTCACCAAAAATGATTGTAATTGACCCCCACAACCGAAAATAATTTTTTCAGAACGATTTGAAATTTTTTTTTTTGCCGAAAAATTTCAACAGCTACTTGTCGATTTTTCTTAAAAATTTGTTTTTCATTTTTAATAAATTTGTTTGACCCTCTACAGAAAAGTTGTCTAATACTTTTTTGTAGGTATCCATGAGCTCTACTGCTATACTAAATTTAAATGAGATCCATTTACTATTGTAGGAGTTATGGACGTTTGAAAATTGAGCCATTTTTATGGGGTTTTTCTCATTTTACGAAGTCAAGGGACAACTAATTTAATGTTTTTGGAATTTCTACATATTCTCCACCAAAATACGCGTCGTTTGTCTGTTTAAACATTAAAATCCTCCAATCCGTTCAAAAGTTATCATATTTTAAAGATACGGACGAAATTTCAGTGAAACATATCAATGGATGGTCAGACATTATATTTTCGGTAAGGAATCTTTTTCTCGAAAGTGCGTAAGATTTTGGGGGTATGTCTATTGACAAAAAATGTTTGTAATTGACCTCCGCAGCCGAAAATAATTTTTTTAGAAAGATTTGAAATTTTCTAATTTCCCCAAAAAATTGCACCTACTCCGATTTTTTTTCTCGAAAATGCATAGGATTTTTGGAATATGTCTATTCACCAAACATGATTGTAATTGACCCCCGCAACCGAAAATAATTTTTTCGTGAATGATGTGAAATTTTCTAATTTAACTTTTTAATAACATTTTAACGATGCCACAATCAACAAATTGATATTCATGATTTTCGTCTAATTTTGGCTTCTAGTATCTTCCATTAACACCCTGTATATTTCTATTACAAATCAGATGTCCGTTCCGCGTGGCTCCTCGTCCGAAGGAAGATCAATCGGTGAAGTCTTTTTACAAAAGATATAGGATTAATCGGACACTTTTGAAAATTAGAACGACTGTTCTGTAAAGTTTTGAGAACATGCAACGATTATATATATATGTATATATATATACGGCACGATCGTGGAAGATTCACAAAGAACGTTGAACCTTGGCTTCGAGCCTGCACGACGTCGTTGTCGACTTGTCGGTGGAGTAGACGCACGTGTTGTGATTGTATAACTCGTGAAAATGTTTATATAAACGTCTACCTTTGCGTTTTGCGTGTATATTTTTTAACGAAACGCCACTACGCAGTAGAATGCATCCGACTACGATTCAGCGAAGCGGCACAAGAATAGGTAGTAAACTTGAATGATCAAAACTTGCGTGCATTCGGCTGTAAACACACTTTTGACTATGTTCATCGGTCTGGTGTTAAGCTCGACAGGGATTGCTTCATGGTTCATCAGTCGTTTCTTTTATTAGAAATTAACCAGACGAGTGAAGATAGTCATCGATACGAAAAAATTAACTTACCCCACCGGACAGACCACATGTAAACAAAATTAACGAACAAAAGCATCCTACGTTTAAGTGGACGATAACCATGGGTATGCTCACATTGGGTTCGTGAAAAAGTAATGTCGAATGTTTTCTACGTGAAATTAAGGGAGATGCCTAATTTAACTCAGCCAATATTATTTTCTTAACAAACGCGATAATAGATTCAATTTGAAAAGATGCATTCGTTTAAGAGAAATAATAATTATATTTTTACTGACAACACATTTCAGATTTTCAGGATGAAGCATATCATTGATGTTTGCCACAGAATAAATTCGATCAAGACGACAGTAAAATGATATCATCGTCGAGAAATTGAAGTAGCTTATTAGAAACGGTTGATCCCCGTTAAAACAGACATCGCTTTCCCACGAGCCCAGCAGCGTTTCACCGCGCGTACTACTTAGTAATTTCTACTGCACACATATAGAGGAGTTTTCGTTCTACGTAGCCACGATCATGCGACACTTTACCAGTGCAGCAATAGAAAGGACAGAAGATACAGAGAAAGGAGACATTCGTGACAGGAGGACTTTGTATATGTCACGTACTGCGTGTACGGTGGCGGAGTGCTGATTCTCAAGTTCTTCTTGATCCTCGTAGTCGCTGCTCTGGCTCGGCGACAGTCCTTCTTCGCCGCTACTCCGGCTCTAAAACGTTGATACTCACAGAGACAGTTTCTAATCACGCATATGTAAAGGAGAAGCGGGCTTTAGTTTGGTTCTAGTTGCGCGCGGATGGTGTTAGAAGGAGGTCGGTCGTTACGAAAGATGGAGGCTAGATTAAAATCAAACGTGAAGGTACCATCGGTAGCGTGGACCGAGAGAACGCCAGAACGAGGATACAGTATGAGTTGGATATAAAAATAGTTACCATACGTGCACGTACGAGGATCAGCCCAGAATATGTGCATGCTATGAGCTTCCAGGGAAGATAAAACTGGGGGTAACATTTAAGTGATTGTTTCTTTCTTGATTCGTCTGATTATTTCGATCGGTTCCAATACATTGATACTGAAGGACTTGCAGCTGACTTATTCTGATCATATTTTTATTCGATATGACTTTGTTAAATTTATTACTATCAATTTCTTCTAGACAAGCATCAAACTCATCAACTATTTACCTGAATAATCTAAAATACAAATTTAGATCATTACTGAGTCGTTAAGCTTGGAAAGTTAAAAGTAAAGGAAATTATAATATTATTTTTTTAATCGTTACAGGTTTTTTGCTCATAAAAACATGTAACCTGAAAAAGCTTCTCTCAAGCTCCTCTAAGGGGAAGAAAAATGTTGCAAGTTCTTCAGTAAATCTCCTATCGTATGTATTTTATAAATATTTTTGTCGAGGCTTCGCTTTCGTTAACACGCATCGGAACCTCGTTTTGAAATGATAATTGCGCACGAATAAGTGAGAATGAAGTATATGAACATTGTACAGAGCGAAAAGAACCCAATCACGTGAAAGTAGTAAGAAGAAATAGTCAGATGTATGAAATTTCTATCTAAACATGCCTCGAAGAAAATTTCAGGTAAAGCATTCCCTTGTGAATTGAAAGTATGCCCTCGTGTACATATTTTTAATATATTGTTCGTGACGTAAAGCGCTCGACTTGCAATAGGATATCCTAATACGTAGCAGAGATTGAGAGCAGTGTACTACGCGTTCTAATACTTTCAATTAAATTTCAGAAATATTGCATTCTCAGCCATTCGTTGTTCATGATTTTGGGTTGGTCGTTGCACGTAGAAATTTTTTCTTTGCTGGTTCACGTTCAAAGTACTGTTCCGTTCAGTGGAGAATAACCTCGATGGGCAATTAATTTTATACGAACACGTTGAAGTAATTGATCACGTTCTTTTAAATTGTCGGGGCCCAGGAGCTGCCTTGTCACAGTCCTGCGTAAGCACTTTATACGCGCATGCATAGTTTTCTTCTCGTAGAAAGATGCGAGGCAAGTGTTGTGTTATCCCTTGCAATCTTCTTATCGGAAGCCATCAGTCATTCCCACCCTATGGAGCTTTGTTAATACCTTTTCTTCGAACAAAGGATACACTCTTTAAGCAAGGTCTATATACTCTGCGACTACCCTAACATTTCATGGACCGGTTTCGTGCTAACATAGGATTTATCATAGGAAGGTCAGGTACCGCGCTGGGTTAGAGATTAGGGCGCGTAAGTAGATACCTGGCGGCACCTTTGTGACTTTTATATCACGAGTGTACGAAAAGAACACGTTATCTTAATGTGCGATCAAAACAATTTACTGTTTCCAAATAAACGAGAGGAATGGCTATGAATGTAGGTCATAAATTTAATTAACGATGAAACTTTTCGTACTGTCTGGCTGCGCTTGACGGATAATAACAAATTTAATTATACAGTGTCAAGAGCATGCTGATTAGTGGAATGTGCCTTTGGTTAATGCGTTTTATGCTGATTGAGATTTGACAAAAATTGTTATAAATGGAAAACAAAATATTGCCTCAATAATCATATTTATATAATATACAAAATATTAGGGAACAAAGTATTGCTCTATTGAATAATATTCTCAACAAAAAGAGTAAGATAAATTACCACGATAAATAGATGGAAAATATGTACGATCGATGTTAGAATTTTATAAGCACGTAAATTTAATGTAAATTTAATGTAAGGAGCTTAAATGGCTTCAAAGTCTACTTTGACACCCTCTCTTCTCCCATAATGACTGAGAAAGAGAGATTAATTAAAATCGACGACCCCATTTTGTGACCTTTCCTTGTAAGTTGAAAATACCTCAGAGGCAAGAGTTCACTTTCTTCTCGATCGCAGAGTTCATCACGATAGACTGTTGGGTCCGTCGTACGAATAGTATCCTATCACAGATGCCGATCATTTGTATCCGGAATTTATAAATAATTTTAATCCCGTTAAAAATGGTTTAAATTTAAACTTCGTTTAAAACATACACTGATGTGTTGTTTAAATAAATCGTGACGGATTGAAAGGTTATACACGAGTACTCGTTTTGATAATGCGAATCACGAGATTGTCCGATAGTGCAATCGTGTTATTTAATGCAGTAAAACCACATCGACCACTCGGTAGACTAATGAAAAGACGTTGCACGTTGAGAAATAAATAAATAGGAGCTGCAGGGCACAGGAGATAGTGGTAAACATAATGTCGGCTTGTCAGAGCATACGCGCGGAGACGTAGGAAGAGATATATAGACACTGTCAGAGCTGGTCGAGTACCAGAGGAAGGAAGAAGGGGACATACTCCACTGCCACGATCAGGTTATGCGCTTCAAAACTTCTACTTAACGTCAATCCTGATTACCGTAATACCATTTATAGGCAACCTACGACGAAGTCGTAATTCATTAAAATCAGGAGGGAGTGGATAATTATTCCGCGCTGCCAATAGCATAATAACAACGATGCGTAACGACTGTAAAGCCAATAAACTGGCGCTGTTCCGAGAAAGTACTTTCTAAGACGGTGAAACTTTCGAGTCTAGCCTCGCCATTTAATTTCAAGTTAAAGAAACAACATGTACTCCAGATGATTTATTTCCTGCCGGCTCTAAGTGGAATTCAGGCTTAGCGATCAGAACTCCCAGGAAAATATTGTTTCATTATCGATCGGGGCTTCGTATCGCATAAACTAGCGGCTAACAGTATCGCTATCGTGAAACCGAAATTTATGTGAACATTACTTAGAGACATATCTTTATAGCTCCTTGCAGTAGATAGGGGTCGAACTTGATTCCTTTCAAGCAATCTGTCGTCCGTGGAGTTTAACGATCGGCCCACGAACGGAACGATTCCGTTCGTTAAGCTAATAGAACGAAAAATCGCGTTACAAGGACGGGACTTATCGTTTGGCTCGGCTCGATACGCGCGCGACTGTACGTTAGTTTGCAGAGATATCGGGTCTATCTGCGGAATTCGGAGAGAGATTTGTTAAAAGGTGGTACGGGCGAGACCGCGCCGCGAACGAAAGCTTTGACAGTACACAGCTAACCGGCACGAAAAATCAATATTCATGAATACCACGCCCGTGTACTTGGCTATGCATTTAATCTGGAGAAATTTCGTACTTCCCGGATCGAAGATGTTGATGTTTGTTCCTCCGACGTGAACGGGGCCGCGCGCGTAAAAGTGTAATGGCCGATGCATATACCTATACGCAAATTTCCACGTCGAGGTTGCGTACCCGCAAGGAACTAAATGGATTAGTATGCCGCTCTGGTTCTGTTCCATTAGGTAAATAGGAAGGTGTTTCCAGGAATATAATCGCAATTCGACGTTAGAAGATAGCGAATTACTTGGAATAGTTCGGACAAAGTGGATTGTTTAAACTCTCGTGCTCGCATCGAAGCTACGTCTGAAACGGTTTTCGAGAAGGTTAAACGTTGCGTTTCCGGATTTTTTTAATTTCTATTTCCTCCCGTTTGAATCGGTTTACATTTATCTCGTATTTAATTAATTTTTCACTACCTGAATTTTTGAATATTAGACACGAAAGGTAATTATACTTTGAAATTCGTATATATCCGGGCTCGCGCGTAATTGCAGCCACGTACTCCCAATATGTAGGCAAGTACAAACATTTCTATGGATATAACGCGCATTGGATAGCAGCAGGGATATAATATTGGCAGTGTAAGTGGTGGTAGTGACGGTCATGGCAGGCGTTAATTGGGTTAAATGTTGGCTTGTTCGCAATGATAGTGATGTCGATAGTGGTACTGTTCGTAGTGGGCGTGACGACTGTTGCGATGGTGATGATCAGGGTGAAGATCATCCGCTGAATGTTGGTCAATCCTACTCGTGTTCACCGACACAGTCGACAGTCTCAAACTCACGCTATACACCGTCGAAAATTAAATCAATCACGCCCTGACGTGTACCCACGAAAACGTAGGCGTTATGTTGGCACCTTTCCGCGATAGAAAAGGAGAGACAGATAGTACTGAACGGAGGAGGAACGAAGACGGACAGCGTATGCCACTCTACGCGTCGCTTCTCCCCATACAGAAACTAATGTAATTTGAACATGGATTAACAGCTACCTTCTAATAGGTTTTCATGGATTTACGACAAAAACAACGATTCGACGCAGAGTGAATCCGAATATCGATACAGGGGCTTACAGAGAAACGGACAAGGTTTCTCGTTTGGCGACATAGTTGGACGTTTAAAAAGCCTGTTGAACTTTAAATTTAATTTTACTGATTTTAGAATTCATTTTGTGACATATGGAGTTCAATTTAGTCAATAGAGTTTAAAATTAAATTGCATATGTCACAAAATGGATTCAAAAATTAGTAAAATTAAACTGTATATGTCACAAAATGGATTCTAAAATTAGTAGAATTAAATTTAAAATTCAACAGAGAAACATACAAGGACAAGGATTCTTGTTTGGCGATATAGTTGGACGTTTAAAAAGTTTGTTGAATTTTAAATTTAATTTTACTGATTTTAGAATCCATTTTGTGACATATGTAATTTAATTTAGTTAATAGAGTTTGAAATTAAATTGCATATGTCACAAAATGGATTCAAAAATTAGTAAAATTAAACTGTATATGTCACAAAATGGATTCTAAAATTAGTAGAATTAAATTTAAAATTCAACAGAGAAACATACAAGGACAAGGATTCTTGTTTGGCGATATAGTTGGACGTTTAAAAAGTTTGTTGAATTTTAAATTTAATTTTACTGATTTTAGAATCCATTTTGTGACATATGTAATTTAATTTAGTTAATAGAGTTTGAAATTAAATTGCATATGTCACAAAATGGATTCCAAAATTAGTAGAATTAAATTTAAAATTCAACAGGTTTTTTCAACAGTAACTCTATTGATACATGTATCATATAATTTTATTATAAAAATTTTACCGAAATTTACCAGGATTCACTCCGCAAATACAAACTGATAAGAACAAGTTACGATCTATATGATCGTACCCAGTATCGTATTTTACGATAAGCGTTTCGTGTGCTCAAAATTTTGAAAGGAACCGACTGTCGACGAGACTTCACACTATTTTTGCCCCTGACGAACGCGTATGTCTTTCTGAGGCATATTTCTCGTGCGAACTTACCTGGACGTCGCTACTCGCGTAATCTCCGCTTTCTCGAGATGCCCTTGAATGCGTCAGTGGTATTATAGTCGGTGGATTATTGTGACCTTGCGGCACAATAAGCCCCCGCATCATCGAAGTTGCCCCCTTTCTGGAACGATCTCGAGGTAAACTAATGTCTCCAGCGGTCCGAAGCGATATGATTCCCTCACTCCTGTTTTCCGGCCTTAAATTCAGTGTGAAGCACACTCTGAAACGAATCAGCAGCCGATATATAAATAATCGAAGCGTTAACGCGGGAAAGAAGATTAATAATTCGAAGACAATTAACGATGCGTTTTAAATCAGAGCAGTGGGTTAAATTCAACCACCGTGTCGCGAATATTTAGCAACAAACCTGTTGGATTCTTATACGGATATATCCTTACGAAATAGAAGTAACATGTGTACTAGTGTTCTATATTAAATGTTGTTCCTAAAAAAATTACTAAAAAATGTTTCCTACGAATAAATATTTTTCAGAAATATGTCACCGTATTAAGATCTCTGTGTGTTCAAACATTGAAGCAAAATAGTAACACAATTATTAAACTGGCTAGAGATAATTTCGTTAGTTTCACCTTCCATTTTGGATAGTTGCAGTTGGTACTGCGCCACCACTTGCTCCCATAAGAAAATCTTCGGGATCGGATTCGTAAGGGGGCTCATCGTACCAGTGTTGACCTCCAGGACCTGGACCTAATCCTCCTCCGCAACGTGCATCTTCGTCGTACATGTAAGTGTCGTCTGTAAATAAACAATACGATTCGTATTAATTCAACGTAAACTATAAAACATGACACTTTCGTTATCAGAATTCTTTATATGGACAAAGCACATTTTTTGTTCTATTATCTTTGTATTCAGTACATTTATTTTTATTAAACAGAACGCTAGACGACGAAGAAACGTGAAAATTACTAATCAGTACATTTTTCATGATATTTGAAACGAACGAATTCAACCTGTTCAACAGCTTCTGGTAGAAATTCTTTAGAAAAAGATTTCGTAATATTTTTTCCTTCAAGATGGCGGTAATACGAGGTAATCTGAGACCCGAGAAGACCTTGAGCGCGGGTTGGTGGAAAGACTAACAAGTGAGCGAAATCAATTGTCTGAGGAACACGCACGTGCGTGTGGACGCGAGAAAAACGAGGAGATCGGAAAAGGGAGGCGTAGAGAAAGCAGTCGACGGGTGTTGACGATAACGGGATTAGCCAGTATACAGTAGAGGCTTCGTACAGTGGTTCCAACCTACCCCGACGACGCGATAGCAAATAAAACCGCCGAGTCAGTGATAAATCGGCAATACGAAATTCAAAGGGTGCCAAGAAGATTATTCTTGACACTATTTGCTTCTCTTTACGACGTCTTATATATTTTCTCTCCCTCCTTGGAATCCTTAGAAGCGTTCAGCGAACTCTTATCTACAGCGGCTGATCAAATTATTACGATCGGATAAAACAATTACATATCTTCATACATAAATAGACCACTACATTTTAACATTCTGGTAATTTCGTACTATTTCATTGCTATGCATTTCACTGGCTAGTTAAATTTAATTTAACGAATGAATTCTTTTATGATTATGCAGCCAAATTACAGTAAAAGTTTGAAAATCCTTGTTACGTGTTATTAATAACATAACAATATCTTTTCTAATAAAAAAGACACCGTTTTAAGAGTGTTACGAATTTTATGCTTGTTCAGTCACTGATTTGTCTGGCGCGTCGGACCATTATCGACTATTACTACTTACGCCGTTGTCCAAATTGCACTCTACTGCATGAATACCCGATTAATTTTTATTTTTTCCAAACAGAATCATCCTCTCACTAGTTGTTCCTTGGTAAATGAGACGGCGTATCAGTTTTTTGCTTTATTAAATTGTATTACTTTATTTTAGCGTTTCAGGGCAGTACAGATAAATATTATTTCGATGCGTGGTCTTACTCTTTAAGAGATGATTTCTCATATAGAAATAAGTTACAATGTTTTCACGCGTGGCTTTGTTTCCGGTATAATTGAATTTGAATATTCGTCGGGGACGCGTGCGATTACAACTCGGCTAATGTGTCCGGCCATTACGCATTATTTCTACTTTCGGTGGTATTTGTAAACATTAACAGTGGTATTATTAGTTTTAACTGGTTCTACCTAGTTAGAAAATAGTAATATCGACGGAAAGCAGATAATACCGTACCGCCATTAGTGTGTACAAAATCAACGCAAGTGGAAGTAACGAGCAATGGTCAGGCATGTTGGTCAAGGCGTGCTCATTTCCACCCGAAACCCAAGAACTTTCCACATCGATTTTCTCGAGTATGAAACCCGAAACGAAACAATTTCATTCCGCAGTTCCGATTTATTTATGCAGCAACAATTTATCTTTTTTACCGGGAATTTCTATGTAGCTCGACTTGACATATAATAATTGGAATAATTGTCGCTAAAATATTTATTCGGTACGAGATACTGAAACGACAGACGTGCTTTTTAAGGGTTGGCTAATATTTATGAACGGTAATATATCTTTTCGTGTATTTTGTCGACGTTAGTTTCATGAAAGGGATTCTGTACTAACGTTATCTAATAATTCAGTCTTCATTAATCCGCTATGGTTCGCGTCAGAACTCTAAGACAAAGAGGACTTATTCCCAGGTTGTAGTTCTGCAGCATTTAAACTCCTTTCCTTGTCTTGCCTGAAATGTCTCGAAAATTCGACGACTGCCTACTCCATCGAGCCTGTACCTAAATGCAGTGAACATTGTTCCCTTGTTTTTTATTCCACATAAATTTGTTTCGTTGTATGTTCAAACTAACAGCGTATCTTACAAAATACAGGCATATATATTTTATGAAAATTGTCTATTTATAATGTATCGCTGAGTTCTGATAAATACATTAATAGATTACGTGTCAGCATTATTATTGCTACATCTAAGAACGATTAATATGCTATTAAATAAACAATAGTATTATAATGCTTCGAGGACCATAACAGGAAAGTTTAAAATATATCGACGAACATTCTCCATAAAGGCGATCACATTTCCTCTCAACGATTCAGTATAATACCATCCAAAAGCGAAACTTTTCCGTGGAAACTTTTCCCTGTTAAGAAATTCTTGTCCACAAGGCAATTCTATCCCGAAGTGGCAAGGTTTCCTGAAAAAAGCTGGGAGGAGAGGAATCGGAAAAATATACTCGAAATAAATCTGTCGAGGGCGTGATAAAGCGTACTTTTTTGCATTAGGGGCAACCAATCTATGTAGAGCAGTCACGGGACTGATAGGATTAGGCATTGATTCCATAGAAAGTGTAGAAAGCTGTAGAAGTCTCAAGTATTATATTTAACATTCACTTTTGGTAATATTGATCTCGATATCTTTTATATATTTTAGCAGATTTATATGCTTAGAATACCAACGTGTTGTTATCACTTTGAACAATAATATTCTTGCTTTTTTAGTCCTGTCGTTTGAGTTCTGGCAGCGTTAATTTTTAGTTTGGAGTTTGCTCGACTTTGGTGTTAGCGTTCCAGCGTTAATTTAAAATTTCCTGACCGTCAGATTATCTAAGGTTAATTAACCCAAACGTGTCTCAGAATTAAACGGGCGCGTCTTCGCTAAGCCCCGTGCAGTGTGTCGATTCTCAGGTCGGTTGTCGCGTGTAGGTTTTGTCGAAAGTAAACACACCCACGTATTGCAACAGAAGTACGTACACAAAGATAGTACCAAGGACATGGCGCAACGGGTCGGAGGAGACGCTATAGGTGGCGGAGAGACAAGGTGACAACTAGCTTAGAGGTTGCTTCTCGATGTACTCACCTCCAGGGAGCTGACCCCGTCCGTCTCGTCCAAGCTGCATTAAGCCTTGCCGAATGTCCCTCAGTATCTGAAAGAGAACAATAATGGGGGCGTAGTTGAACGTTCACTCGTAAACGCGATTACGCTATTAAATAGTCTATAACGACGAATCTGCTACTATTATCATCATCGAAGATCTCGTGAAGAAAAAGCATTTATTAATCTCCACAGTCTTCCCTTCACTGATTAATTCGGAAGGATTAGAGGAAATGGAAATTAAAGCTCAAAACGAGCCCTCGTAGATCCATTTAAATAATATTAGAACAAATAGAATAAAAATATTTTTGATCATGTACAAATTCCAAAATTCGGAAAGTGCAAAACCATTTTGGCTGGTAGGCAAGGTAACCAAGACATATAATAATATAAATAAGGATTTTAGCAGATAGGGACCGGCGTGTTTCTTCTTCAAACAAGTTTTTCGTCGAGGCAGACGGTCTTTGAAGGAAAAGGGGTGTCGTCTTAGGGTGCTGGCAGGTTTAACCGTAAGGCAGATTCAGCAAATCTTACTCCAGACGCGATCAGATGTTACAATTGATTCCCATATAACGGAGACATTTGCTTAATGGATCTGTGGGAACACGTTTAAGCAAATAGCCCTCTAGAGGTATTACCTACAGGCTCCAGATTAAAGCCGAAATCTTGCATAACAATGGAATAAATTAGGGCATTTAACTATCGTGCATTATATACAACATAAATAGGAATTGAATATCCCTACGAAACATTGTTTTCTAAAACAGCAATACCAGCCACTGATAGTGTTATATGTTATTATGTAGGGGCTAAAAATATCTGAGTTTAATATAGATATATGTATATTGATTGTACGATTCTTGTGAATTCTTGGAATCGATGAAGCAGCCCCGGCTACTAATTTCTGACGGTAATTATGTTGGCAGGAAATAAAAGAATCGCAGGTTCATTTCCCATTCATTTCAATGCCCTGGAAGGAAAGGACGATGCCGTGGGTGGATGGTGAAGTGGTCGCCCGCGGGATGATTCTGCAGTTTCTTGCGCAAAAGAGAAGTCAACCGGCTAGTGGTGAAAATAGAAGGCAAAGAATAGAGAGGAAAGAAAGGTGGCTACCTCCGGGGAGTAGTAAACCCGAGGAGGAGGAAGTGACACTAAAACTTTTACACGGATACCGACCTTTATTTACATATTGCTCGCAGCCTCAAAGGAAACTCCTCGCTTTATTTCTTTCGGCCTTTTTCTGCCTCGCTGACTAGCCTCCGGCCGGAATAGCCAGTTTTGACCAATTTTTTTGAGACCCCTTCTGCTCCCTTAAATTTTTTCAAAGGACAAACTTTCCTCGCATTGCTCGCGCCGGATCGGTAGTTTCGCATAATTAACACTCGAAACCCGTTCGTAATTACCGCGAAACGAACAATCGTTTGTTCGTTCTTTGCTCCGTTTCCTAGAAACGAAGTCACATTGTCCGCGGTGGGTGGTAAAAAGTAGCGAATGCACTTTAAGTTACAACATTGGAACCGCCAATTTACTTGAAAACGAGCTGACTTTGGCTCACATACTAAGTTTAAGGCGAGGTCTATCAGTATTTTTGTATATTTCAAATATGACAAATTGTGACACAGAAGTAAAAGGAGAAGATCACAAGTGCGATGTAACATTGTGATGTTAATTGTCACGTAAAACGAGCTAGATGGAGATGTGACTTTGGCAAGAGGGGTGGATCTCAAGTGTGACGTAACATTGTGATGTTAATTGCTACATAAAATAAGCTAGATAGAGATGTGACTTTGGCTCACATACTAAGTTTAAGGCGAGGTCTATCAGTATTTTTGTATATTTCAAATATGACAAATTGTGACACAGGAGGAAGAGGGGTGGATCTCAAGTGCGATGTAACATTGTGATGTTAATTGTCACGTAAAACGAGCTAGATGGAGATGTGACTTTGGCAAGAGGGGTGGATCTCAAGTGTGACGTAACATTGTGATGTTAATTGCTACATAAAATAAGCTAGATAGAGATGTGACTTTGGCTCACATACTAAGTTTAAGGCGAGGTCTATCAGTATTTTTGTATATTTCAAATATGACAAATTGTGACACAGAAGTAAAAGGAGAAGATCACAAGTGCGATGTAACATTGTGATGTTAATTGTCACGTAAAACGAGCTAGATGGAGATGTGACTTTGGCAAGAGGGGTGGATCTCAAGTGTGACGTAACATTGTGATGTTAATTGCTACATAAAATAAGCTAGATAGAGATGTGACTTTGGCTCACATACTAAGTTTAAGGCGAGGTCTATCAGTATTTTTGTATATTTCAAATATGACAAATTGTGACACAGGAGGAAGAGGGGTGGATCTCAAGTGCGACGTGACATTGTGATGTTAATTGTCACGTAAACGAGCTAGATGGGGAAGTGACTTTGGCAAGAGGGGTGAATCTCAAGTGTGACGTAACATTGTGATGTTAATTGCTACATAAAATAAGCTAGATAGAGATGTGACCTTGGCTCACATACTAAGTTTAAGGCGAGGTCTATCAGTATTTTTGTATATTTCAAATATGACAAATTGTGACACAGAAGTAAAAGGAGAAGATCACAAGTGCGATGTAACATTGTGATGTTAATTGTCACGTAAAACGAGCTAGATGGAGATGTGACTTTGGCAAGAGGGGTGGATCTCAAGTGTGACGTAACATTGTGATGTTAATTGCTACATAAAATAAGCTAGATAGAGATGTGACCTTGGCTCACATACTAAGTTTAAGGCGAGGTCTATCAGTATTTTTGTATATTTCAAATATGACAAATTGTGACACAGGAGGAAGAGGGGTGGATCTCAAGTGCGATGTAACATTGTGATGTTAATTGTCACGTAAAACGAGCTAGATGGAGATGTGACTTTGGCAAGAGGGGTGGATCTCAAGTGTGACGTAACATTGTGATGTTCATTGCTACATAAAATAAGCTAGATAGAGATGTGACTTTGGCTCACATACTAAGTTTAAGGCGAGGTCTATCAGTATTTTTGTATATTTCAAATATGACAAATTGTGACACAGGAGGAAGAGGGGTGGATCTCAAGTGCGACGTGACATTGTGATGTTAATTGTCACGTAAACGAGCTAGATGGGGAAGTGACTTTGGCAAGAGGGGTGAATCTCAAGTGTGACGTCACATTGTGATGTTAATTGCTACATAAAATAAGCTAGATAGAGATGTGACTTTGGCTCACATACTAAGTTTAAGGCGAGGTCTATCAGTATTTTTGTATATTTCAAATATGACAAATTGTGACACAAGAGGAAGAGGGGTGGATCTCAAGTGCGACGTGACATTGTGATGTTAATTGTCACGTAAACGAGCTAGATGGGGAAGTGACTTTGGCAAGAGGAGTGGATCTTAAGTCTGACGTAACATTGTGATGTTAATTGTCACATAAAACGAGCTAGATAGAGATGTGACTTTGGCTCACATACTAAGTTTAAGGCGAGGTCTATAAATATTCTTGTATATTTCAAATGTGACAACTTGTTATATGGGAGGAAGAGGGGTGGATCTCAAGTGCGACATAACACTGTGATGTTAATTGTCCCATAAAACGAGCTAGGTGGAGGTGTGACTTTGGCTCACATACTAAGTTTAAGGCGAGGTCTATAAATATTCTTGTATATTTCAAATGTGACAACTTGTTATATGGGAGAAAGAGGGGTGGATCTCAAGTGCGACATAACACTGTGATGTTAATTGTCCCATAAAACGAGCTAGGTGGAGGTGTGACTTTGGCTCACATACTAAGTTTAAGGCGAGGTCTATAAATATTCTTGTATATTTCAAATGTGACAACTTGTTATATGGGAGGAAGAGGGGTGGATCTCAAGTGCGACATAACACTGTGATGTTAATTGTCCCATAAAACGAGCTAGGTGGAGGTGTGACTTTGGCTCACATACTAAGTTTAAGGCGAGGTCTATAAATATTCTTGTATATTTCAAATGTGACAACTTGTTATATGGGAGGAAGAGGGGTGGATCTCAAGTGCGACATAACACTGTGATGTTAATTGTCCCATAAAACGAGCTAGGTGGAGGTGTGACTTTGGCTCACATACTAAGTTTAAGGCGAGGTCTATAAATATTCTTGTATATTTCAAATGTGACAACTTGTGATATGGGAGGAAGAGGGGTGGATCTAAAGTGCGACATAACACTGTGATGTTAATTGTCCCATAAAACGAGCTAGGTGGAGGTGTGACTTTGGCTCACATACTAAGTTTAAGGCGAGGTCTATAAATATTCTTGTATATTTCAAATGTGACAACTTGTGACACAGGAGGAAGAGGGGTGGATCTCAAGTCTGACATAACATTGTGACATTATTTGTCACACAACGAATTCTGTAGTTTGCAATGTATCGTATTTTAGGTATGATTAAAATTAAATTCCATGAAAGATATTGACGTTGAAAACAAAATAATTGTGCGTTTCGTGCAGAAATTACACGCACCGGCGACGAAAGGAAAGAGATCGGGGGAATCGAGGAAATAGCCTTCCAGGGCGAATAAGAAGAGCGCAGAAACGCTTCCGGCAACACTGCGATTGCGCATAAGAAATTCACGACGTAACGTCGCAGTACACATTGACGATTATGATGATATCGTCCCGATCCGACTACTTTGCATAATAAGAGGTATCGAGATAGTGGGAGATAGACAGTCCATGAACAAGGAACGAAAGAGAGAGAGAGACGGAGCTAAGCAACTGTCGAAAAGCACTGAAGAAGAAAGTATAAGAGAGTAGGAGAACGGGAGCGAAGTGATAGCGCTCACATGCAAATTTCATCCTGTGAGAATTTTGTCGAGTAGCGGATTGGAGGGTTGTGGAGCAAGGGGGATCTTTGTATCGGATAAAACCATTCGTTCACAGAGCCAATATTGGTCGAACGACGAGAAGGGGCTTGTCGATGATCCAGGGAATGCACAAGAGAATTGAAGGAGGGAAATAAACGAGCCGAGGCACAGATTGGTTTAATCGAAATAGGTTCTTTCTTATCGCGATGACCGTGTACGAAAGGAAACTGTCAATTTTACGACACGCGCGAATTCTTGACAATAACATAAACTGAAGAGGTGCGCGTAACGCGAGGACCACCCGATAAACTGAAAAATCTTTGTCCCGGTGTAATATGTTCGTAAATAACAGTCGCTGGTTACAAACTGTGAAAGACAGAGAATGGGAAGCGACGAGAGTGGGTTCGGATGAAGCAACGGTGGGGAAATAGTTCCAGTTATTCGGAATAAAATTGGAGCATTTATCCTGGAATTATTACAAGGACTGCAAGTATTTAAAAAATTCAAAAATCGAAATATTTGGTAAACGAATAACAAAAACAATATTGTTTTATAGCAATTGTACATCGAACACTGTTTTTCGTAACTACGCCATTAATACAGAAACAGCACGATCTACATATATCTTGCAGTTTCACGAGAAATTACCTTCTTGACAGTCAGATGATTTACTGGACACACGTCATGCACGTTATCAGGTGTATTAAATATCCAATGTACACGTTCCACGTATAATGTAGGTGCAATGAATATTCTAAGGGTAATATATTTGCTTCTGTATTCATATGTGCGTGATTGCAGATATGTCAGTTATATCATTATTTATTATTACATAAGTACATATTAAAAGGTCGTTGTAATTCGGTCTCGTGCCATAATTTGACGGAACTGGGCTTTTTATCGTCCCGGAACCTTGCGTGCAAATGTGATTCTTCTTTACGAGTCGCTGAGTCATGTTTCTTTTTCACCAGAACTAATGTATTCGAAATATTAAAAATAAAAATGTAGAGAATGCGTTGCGCAATATTATTTAGCAAACATATTGTATTCTTCTTTAAATATACGTCCTGTTTTTGATAAACAATACTCTGATAAACAATTAGGATCGGTAATTAAATTGGCTACGTTCATTGCACTGCATTCGCAAAATTCGTTTATAAATATGTCCCATGCTCTTCCCTTTATCGTTCGTATAAATAAAATTTAATCAGTTAATTACAATAAAGGAGGGTGAACTTTAATTTGAGTTGCACTCACCTCTTCGTGTTCTTTGTGAAATCTCTCTTTCTTCCTCAGTGCCTCTTGAACTTTCAGCTGCAAAATACGAAGAACAGTGAACCCACTCAATTGCATTGATCAACGGTTTAAAAATGAGAACAAATAATATGTTCGGATTTTCAAAACATCGTGGGCGAAATAAATATAAATAAACGAACCTTGCAATACGGAAGAAACTGTTAACAGTTTTCTTATTAAGGCAAACAGTCCACTACTTTTTGTCTTTTATAGATAACAAAAGAAAATTAAAACTCTTGGCAGGTGAAGTAAAACACGAAGAAAGAAAAGAAGTTTCAAATATGAAGAAGCCAATTTGATATTTTTATTGACTTCGAATAAAAATGATTAAAAAGAGCAGAGAAGTTTGATTAATAATACAGGACAGGTTTTCTTTCTAAACAACATACTATATCGTACACCTCAAATTAATTGTATCCTCCAGTTTTGTTCAGACACGCTGCTTTCTCTATGCAACGTCTAATAACAATGTCTCCCTCTTTTATTTTCATTTATTATCGTAATCATACCCTGTGTATAGTTTCTTCGAAGCTGTTTGGTTGTCCACCGTTCATCTGTAGGTATCTTAATCGGTCGTAATCCCTTGGATCTACCATGGAACGTAGAATCGTGTTTCCCATGTCTGGTCCTAGACCCAATCCACTCTGCAATACGCTATCTGGCGTATCCACCTGCCAACAAACAGAAAAGCACAATATTAATTAACTCTCATATACCCTCGCGTTGTCCCTTCGTTTCCTGTAAAAATCAATACGTAACACGACGATACTGTTATAATAATAAATATAGCAGTAAATTGAATTCCGTGTTCGAACTGCGAACGAATCGAAGCATGGCTCAAAGTTAGTATAGCCAGTCTTCAAAGCTCAAGTGAACGTGACAGCAGAACTTCATCCACTTTTTAGTTACAGCAGAGTGTTGTTTTTTGAGACAGCTTAATCAGTTGTTCATTTTTTTTAGCAAGGCGGCTGAATCTGGCCCTCAGACAGCTTAATTAGCTCTTGAGGTAGCATAATTAGCTCCTTAGGTAGCTCAATTTGCACCTGAGGCAGCTTAATCAACTTCTCGTCCCATCCTCTGAGGCAGCCGAATTCGTTCGTCGTCGCGAGACAGGTTTTCGTTAATCTATGGTAACGAAAGAAACAAAATCTCAACGAGTTTTATTTATAAAACGCGAGTATTCACATAGCTGACCGATTTTAAAGATTGCTTTTGATCGAATAATTCAGATTGGCAATGCACAGTCGCAGAGCCAAAATGGGAGAATTTGTTTAGTAATTTCCAAATAATCCTAACGTTTCGACTGTGGGTTTCAGCTCTCTATAAAATAAAAATTAATATAACGCTATCGTTACAAAAGTGCCACAATTCTGATACACGTTGGACTCATCAAATCTTTTATTTTGTTAAGCTCAAAGTAATTCGTTTTTCTTTTTAAGAGGCTTGCAACCGACGATCGAAGCGTCAAGATTTCTGTGTCTAATCAGAATTGCATTTATTTCATTCGGAGCTCCTTTTTCACAACAAATCGTGACGCTCGGAGCAATAATCTTGAATTTCCTTTTCCTCCGGCCATAATTATTCAACGACGTACGATGTCGTCGACAGCAGGAGAAACAAGAACGATATAGAAAACTAAGTTAGTTATGCTACAGACTTTACGGCTCATTTTGCGACGACGACACCCGCGCTGGTACCAGAAGACACGAACACACACTCTGCGCACACCGAGTGGGAATTTACCGTGGAAGTTGGAAAATATACACGTACATGGTACGTAGTACATTGTCTGTAACACGCACAAGCGTGATGGAAGTGTTAGGAACTCGAGCGAAGATACATTTGAATCTTGCCCTCCCTACTTTCCATGCTCGAACGGATGTTACTATTCGGTTTGGTAAAACATTTTCCACGTGGTTATTCTCTAATGCACTCTATTATGGCCAGTGCAAGGGTGGAACGAATACACAAGCAGAGCTTTTTATTCCATTCGATCGAATTCCCAATAAAGTTATCTGGCAAATCAGTGCTTCACGTGTCAGGATATTTGTTCTCTTCTCTACGTCGATCGTTTACTTACAGATAGGCAATTTTTAAGAGAAAGACTCGAAACTATGATCGAAATTTTAATACTAATACAAGCTTGTATCTTAAGAACGTGATCTGAATTATTTAAATTTAAAAAACGGACGTTTAAAGCAAGTTTGGAGCAAATCTTTCGGAAAGCAACACGACTAAAAACTATCGATTTCTAAGCTTTCGGTTACACGATAGTCATTATTTATGACCGAAATTTGTTTTCGTTGCCGGTAACCGTTGATAACGAATGAAATTTATTATTGTATGTTGCTCATAACCGTTATCGATGACGGAAATATTTTTTCGGTTACATTCGACCAACAAAAAATCTTTTGTGGTTGATCTATCATTGCCAATAGCTCAACTCTTGGTGCAAATGACTGATAACCAGTATCAATTACGTGATACGTAGAATAAATAGTTTACAATAATAGGTGCTTAAAAGAGTTTCGTTTTCAATAAACGAGTAGAATTTATTTTGATCGACCGAAACTATTGGAGTTCGATCTTACGCTCATGTGGTGGCGAAATTCTCTTGGACTGATTGCCCTAGCGCCAAAGATTTCCAACGAATGGCACTAAAGCTTACCAAGTATTGGCACGCTCATCAGGATGCCACCACCCGCTACCTAACAAGCGCTTCCAAGTTCACGAGGTTCCGGTACACTTGGCATGCAAATTAGACTCCCGATCGTCGTGGTCATCGTTGTTTTCTCAACAAATCCGCTACTCAACCGTCGAGGTAAGATTTTACAAATTATATTTCCAAGGGTTTAACTCAACTTAAGTACAAACACTTCAAATATTTTAACTGATAACTGACCCATCGAAAAATAACACTTAATATAGAAGATAGTCTCTTCAAAATATTTCTCATTTTTTTACCTACTATTTACTATGCATCTCCTGATATTAGTTTCGAATATTCAATTGCATTGAATATTTTATACAGAGTGTTCGACCACCCCGGGGAAAAATTTTAATGGGAGATTCTAAAGGCCAAAATAAGACGAATATCAAGAATACTAATTTGTTGATGGAGGCTTCGTTAAAAAGTTATTAACGTTTAAAGTTCCGGCTGTACTGAATTTTTTTCTAGAAAGTGGGTAGGATTTCGGGGGTAGGACTGCTCACCAAAAATTATTGTAATTGATCCCCGCAGCCGAAAATAATTTTTCCAGAACGATTTGTCATTTTTTAATTTTGTCGAAAAATTTCAAACCTTCTCGAATTTTTTTTCGAAAATGGGTAGGATTTTGAGGGTATGTCTAATGACCAAAAATGTTTGTAATTGCCCCCCACAAACGAAAACAATTTTTCCAGAACGATTTGAAATTTTTTTTTCGCCGAAAAATTTAGACACCTACCCTCTGTTGATTTTTCTTAAAAATTCGGTTTTCATTTTTAGTAGTTTAGTTCGACGCCTTGTAGAAAAGTTGTCTAACATTTTTTTTGTAGGTACCCATGAGCTCTACTTCAGGAAAAAATTTCATTGAAATATATTCGCTATTGTAGGAGTTATGGCTGTTTGAAAATTGGATCGTTTTTATGGGGTTTTTCTTACTTTACGGGGTCAAGGATAACTGTTTGAATATTTTTGGAATGGCCACCTATTCTCCATCAAAATACGCGTAGTTTGCATTTTTTTAAATGAAAATCGTTCAATCCGTTCAGGAGTTATGACATTTTAAAGATTCGCATGAAATTTCAGGGAAGCATTTCTTTCTAGCCTCGCATTAGATTTTCGGTAAAGAATTTTTTTTTCGAAAATGCGCAGGATTTCGGGGTATGTCTATTAACCATGAATGCTTGTAATTGGCCCCTGTAACCAAATATAATTTTTTTAGCATGATTTGAAATTTTTTAATTTCGTCTAAAAATTTCAGTATTTACTCGAATTTTTTTCTCGAAAGTGGGTAGGATTTCAGGGGTATGAGTAATCACTAAAAATGATTGCAATTGAGGCCCGCAACCAAAAATAATTTTTTCAGAATGATTTGAAATTTTTTAATTTAATTTTTTAATAACTTTTTAACGAAGCCTCAGTCAAGAAATTGATATTCTTTTTTATATAATTTTTCCCAGGGGTAGTCGAACACCCTGTATATCCTCTATTTTCAAGGATTTAACTCAACTTTGGTACAAACACTTCAAATATTCTGACCGATAACTGACCCACTATAAAATAACACTATAGCAGATAGTCTTTTAAAAGTATTTCTTATTTTTTTACCTACTATGTACTATGCACATTCTGATATTAATTTTTAATATTCAATTGTATTGAATATGTTATATATCCTCTGCTCTTTATACGCCCAAGTGTAAAATATCGACGCACAGTTTTGAGAGTCGAATCAAATTTTTCTAACACCACCAAGCCATTATTTTGCGCGGCATAATCTGATCGCATAAATGCATATACGCGTAGGTGTCCTTCTTAAGCGATAGAGAACAGTTCAGGACGCATCATTCGATGCAAATGGACGGTGTTGCGAAAAGAGCTACGACTCTCGTCAAAATGTTTTATGCAGCGGGGAAGGTGTACGTCATAGGTGTATGATCATATTTCATGCAAATTTAGCAACTCGCCTTGTGGTAACTAGCTTACAACGTCAGCTTCAGCGCGTGTAATCACGCGGTTTGATAATATTAAATATACAGAGTGGGCGACGATTGGAGGCACAATCAGGCGTAATACGATTCCTTGTTTAAAAGTAGATCGAAGCTGTACGAAACAATTTTTTAAAATGTCGACAAATAATAAAATAATAAATTTACGGGCTACTATATAATTGATAGAAAAAATGTATAATGTTTTAAGCAAGTATCGGAACCGGAAGGATAGAGTTACTTTACGCGTTGGTTCACCCTTTGACGAGCGTTTTTCTGTATTGCGAAAATCGGCTGTCGGTTTGCTTGTTTCCTTATTTTTTGAAAAAAAAAATGATCGAAAAATTCATGTCCCGCGAATATTCTTTTCACGTGGTCGCTTCGATTACGAATTTGTGCACGTGCATTGTTGGCAGTTTGCGGAAATCGATTCTCAACCTAGCTACCACGCACATACGTACGCACGCGTGATCGACGCGGAGCATTTAAATTGCACGTAATTCGGTAATAAATTAAGGCGATTCGTATAATATATGCGCGACAGTCCATTTTCGTTTTGTATCTTTACAGCCAGACAACGATTGCGTGCCACGAGCAACTTAAATTTCTAAGTTCAGCGTCGAGACGAAACTCAAAGCTCCTTTCATTGATATAACTTTCTTGGTATTAACGTTCAATACTTCCATTAGTAAAGGAAAAAATATTTGTCTGTACTTTCAGGCATATAACGATTTATGAAAATAATTCTACACTTTCAAAACGTTTAAAAATTTCTCTTGGTATATCTTCATTGCAGATTGCAGAACAAAATTGATATATTCACAGGTTACAAAATATGAATAACATATAGCTGAGAAAAGTTTTTACTCAGTGCATTTATTTACCAATACCTTTTAGACAATTAGAATCATATCTTGCTAGGAAAACAACTTCTAGTGATCAGAAAAGAAATCAACCAGATGACATTGTCAGAAAGGTA